ACTAATGGGAACATCGGTCTTCCATGCACCTAGCCTCTACCATCGCTATGGGAGCCTAACCGCGTCAGCGCTAATTCCCTGCCCTCCGACTCTTTTTTTCAAGCGGCGGGGTACTAAAAAAAAGGAAGAAGAAGCGCGAGGATCTCCGGAATTTTAGAAGGACGGTTGTGTTGGACATCCATCCCGATATTATTCCACGACATGTGACCAACTCACTCACTATTCGAGCTTGTTGTTTGGTAGGGCCCAACAGTCCAGATGGGCCGCTTGTCGTTTTCAAAGGTCGTCAAGCACGCAATCTGCACCGTTGTTCACAACCCTTTAGGTTGCACTTGTACTGGTTGCATTTTGTCTTTTAGCGAACGTTGCCATTTCGGGAAAAGTCGTGAGGGACAGTGACACAGGGAGGGGTCGATTTCAAGGTGTTGAAAAATGCAAGGGATGGGCACACGTACATTACGAGTGAGACTGGTCCATGAAACGGGCATGTGCCTGCTTGGGGGCGGGCGGGGGCCATTGTGGAGGGCGCCGGCTGGGCTTTCCGTTTGGGAAACGGGTCAGCCTTGTAGACATCTGACAAACACTGTGGGGGGTATGGGTTAGTTTCGTGAGGAATTGTGGTCTCTCGCGCGTATCTGTCAGTTGAACGCTGAGATATTCAACCGCCGTCCGACGCCGTGATATAGGGCATCGCCACAACACTCTCGAAATGTGAAAAATGAGAATGAACTTCCCGCTATAACATCACGAGATGCACTTACCACACTTTTGTTTGTCATTTTGCACATTTCGAGAGTGGTGTGGCGATGCCCATACAACTGCCGATAATGTATCGGGGCTAATAATTGGCATAAGGAAGGAGAGATGCCACTCACACCTGGACTTCGCCACACACATCTAACGTAATAAGGTGCTAAAGATAGCAAACGAACAGAAAAAAAATGAATGAATGGGGAAAAAAGGGGAAAATGGGTCCCTGCCTTTGTGGTCCAGGTCGCTCTCCGGGCTGCGTCACCACGCCCAGCATGCTATATCAGTCAGTTGGATGGTCCAGACAGGCTGCATCCATCGTTCTGTAAACTATGTGCCTCACCACACCACTGTCGCCGAGGGCGTGTGGTATAGTAGGCTTTGACGTCCGTGTCAAGGTGACACATTTTCAACAGCGGGGGACCGACGCACAAGTAGGTTCTAAGAGGCTGAAAGTTGTGGGGGAACCGGTCCACCGCGTTTTTACGGACTGCCTACAACTATCGCACGTAAAACCGGTGCGATAGTAAAGTTGGAGGACTGGTCCTGCCTTGCATGTGAACTACAAAAGGGGCTAAAGAAAAAACCCATTTTCCAATGCCCTAAGGCCCAAGCGTTGAGGCAGGGTCTGGTGCGGACGCACATGAACGTTGCTTTCCACTAGGCCCCTTACACGAAAAAGGTACTGGTGGGTCCCGTCCCCCAATTTGCAAGGGAGAACTTTGACGATTTTTTTGTGCTTAAAAGCATTTGCAGAAACGTGTGAAAATTTGAGAATCCTACCAGTGAAAGGCGAAAAAGAATTTGAGAGAAGAACATGGTGTATAAAAAAAAAAAATAAATAAATAAAATTGAGAATCCGTAGATTAGGTCGTGATCTTTCTAGAAAAAATATCAGGAAAAAATCAACAACATTAATACCGTAAGATAATTGCACCGATTCGGTGCATTTTCTCTTTTTGTCACTCAGCCATGTGTGGGCCAACAAAACGAGTACTCTAACTTCAATGATTTTTTAAGCTTAAAAGAATACGTTAAAGAATCTGAAAATTTGATCTTTCCAAGAAAAATATTAATAAAATTAAAAAAATAATTTCAACCGCGAAACAAATCGCGGTGGCAATTTGACCCATTTTCTATTTTTGCCATTTAGCCTCTCTCTCTCTCTCTCTCTCTCTCTCTCTCTCTCTCTCTCTCTCTCTCTCTCTCTCTCTCTCTCTCTCTCTCCCCCCCCCCCTCCCTCCCCCTCTCTCTCTCTGTCTATGTCTGTGTGTGGTACCCCCCTCCTCCCCCCCTCTCTCTCTCTCACACACGCATACACAGACACACGCACACGTAGCCCCAGTGCTTTTGCTCATCGGGCCAGGCTCACAATCCACAACCCTAAGGCTGTGGTCCGTAGGTGTTGTGTGTGGTGTGTGTTGAGTTGGACACTACAACCTTGGAGGGGTGGGGTGGATATCACGACCGGTACGATTCCACTTTTGAACACCGTGTCCTGGCAGTAGTGGTTAAGAGACTTGGCTCTTGAGGCCGAAGTCGCCGGTTCGAATCTGTGCTTGCACGGAAGAGGACTTAGGCCCAGACGTACGGAATCCATACTACTGTGGTATGGTGGGTTTGAGAATCTGTGTTTTGAGCACGAAGGCTGCACCGAAAGGGAACACATCAGACTCTCTCTCTCTCTCTTTTTTTTTGGGAGTCTTCACATGGAACGATTGGGAGCAATACCCAATTTCACTTATGAGGGAAACAACGCCCTCGAGGAGACCAACCCCCTCAGATATAACCATCACCAACAGTGGCTCCACGGCTCGGCAAGGCAGGCCCGGGGTCTGTGCTGTGGAACATAAGTTCCAGTGAGTGACAATGCCACTCCTTCTAGACCCCACACACCCTCACTTTGCTTCCCTCCTAAGTATTTCTTTCTCCCTCTCTCTCTAGAAGAAAAACAAAGATATATAACCCCTTCGGGCTACGTTCTCCGCGGCCACCGGGTAGGCAATTGTCAAGATGCCATGGGAGCTCTGGCTAGAGCCATTAGAGCCAAATATGTGCTTGACGCCCACATTGCGAAATGCTATTTATCGAATCAACACTTGGTGGCTCTTGGAAAGATGAAAAGGGATGCGCAGTTGCTGGCAAATGCTGTGTCCTTGTGTTAGCCGGGCCCTCACCAGTGGCCCCAACCCTGCACCCTAAAACGCTAGGGCAAAGGGGCAAACATGCCTATACCCCTCTCCAACGACCGAGAGAGGTAACCTCCCTTCACCGAAGAGAGGTAGAAAGCTATGCTTGCAGGGGTCCCCTGTATAGCCTTAGGAGTAGTGGTAGGCAGTGAACAGAAAGATATGTTCCATGACATGGCAGAACGCCAAGAAAGATATGTCAGGTGATAGAAAATATGCAATAACCCTGTTGAGAAGGCACCTGGGGCCAGAACCCGGCCCCTGGAAACGCAGACCTGAGTTGGTCTGCGCCGGGCTGTGTGACCAAGACACGCCCGGGCCTGAGTCTGTCGAGCGTGGCTGTGTGACCGAACACTACACACAGGAAATTCAAGAGTCAAAGTCAACTGTACAGTCAAAGGCACCGAACCCAGGCCCTGGGATGGATACACTCACTTGTTGTGCGCAGGTACCCAGACAAGCATCCAGGCCGAGGGGACTACAGTTTCAGATCAATCCAGGCCTTCATCTTCAACAAGATCTGGACGGCTGGAGTTTGCAGCAGCCGGGGTCCAGACCCCGAGTCAACACTACATAAGGTTGACTCTCCTGGCTTTGACATTCATTCATTCTGTTGACGCTGCCTCTATGCGTTGACAATGCGACGCAGGCTTGACGCTGCGACGCTGGTTGACTCTGGCATTGGCGGCAACGCGCTGCTGGCTGGTGCGCTGATTGGCTGGCTACTGTCTACAAGGCTTGCTGACGTGGCAGCTGCCACGTGTTGCTATTGACGTGGCTGCTGCCACGTATGACTTCGCCGGGTCTATGTGACCGGCATTGCTGTTCTATTCCATCATCACTTCAGGGAGACACCAATGCTGTTTCATCGTCACTTCAGGAGGAGATCGGGACTGTGAGGAGGTTGTGATTACGTACCTGGGATCTTCAAGTTGACATTGCTCCAGCGCTGATTAAGGACTGATTAGGTGCCGCGTGGCACATTGTAGAAGGACTTGGACGAAGTGTTCTGATTACTGGTTCTGTGAGGTGGCGATTGTGTAGGGAGCCCGGAGAAGGAGTGGGCAGTGTATCTTCCTCTCCTTTGTCTCATCTCCCTCCTCCCTCTTCGTCTGTGTATGATTATCTCACCTCCTTCTTTCTGGACACTACTCGATTATTAGAAAGTATCAGCGACTTGAGATTCTGGACTTGCATTGTTGACAATCGTTTTCATAATCTGGGTTCATTGCAAATATATGGCTGTCCCCCAATGCTGTCTCTTATACACATCTAGATGTGTATAAGAGACAGGTCAAAGGTAC